TATAGTGCAACTATAGGAGCTTAGAGTTAAATGACAGAAAGACTATGTGGGCACTGAAAACATGAAATGAAAATACAAGTGATAAACTACAGGACAAGAGAGTAACAGGGTGTTATTCGGCAGCGTGTTAGCAATTACCAGGGACATATGCAGTTAAAATGCACTGTTGGTCTTCAGAGATGAGGGACTCTGTGGCCTGGAATGACCATAAAAGACTTCTCAAAAGAAGGGACATGATTGGAGGAGCCTAGTAGGGTAAAGAGATGTTGATATTTAGCGAGCAAAGGGACAGGTATGGCATTGTAGGCTAGGAAATGGGTGACTGCAAAATGGCACAACAGGAGAAAAGCAAGTTGTGTTTGAGAAATTTGACTTTTTGGTTATTATGAAGACTGAGTAAGGAAGCAGAGATCAATTGTGCTGGAAATGTTATTTTATTCATTGATTTGTTTTTCAAGTTGAGCATCTGGTGTGTGTTAGGCACTGCTCTTGGCGCTCCCTGTACATACGGCCGTGAACATGATGGATAAGGACCTTGCAATCATGGAGATTACGTACCAGTGAGGCAGGCAGAACATATGTAAACATACACATTAGGTGAGCACCAGAGACCTCGGATCTTATGGAGAGAGTTAATGTTGGAGGATGTAGAAATGACTGAATGGTAACTATACAAGATGTTCAAAGAAGACTCCAGGGAGGAGTCCCTAAGCTCAGATGAGACCTAAATAGCAAGAAAGATTATTTTTCTATATTATGATCAAGTGAAAAGTAATTAAAACAGAGGGAGAAATGGGATCCAAGGCCTAAAACAGGCTCCTTATGTGCCAAGTCTGTAACACAGATTTCTAACATCACATCTGGAATAATTTCCAACACTTATTTCCCCTTATTGATTCAAGCTGCTTGAGGAATGAGACCCTATTTTGTTCTTGTTCCAAGTCCCAGGTGCCAGCCTAATTTCAGGCATACAGTAAGACTTAATAAATATTTGACAAATATGTGTTGAATGAGACTAAAAAGTTTTCATTTAACTTTATTTGAGCATTTAATTTAATCATAGACAGCACTAAAGAAATAGACATCACTAGCAAAAATAGACAACTTCAATTATAGCATTTTTTTTTTTTTTTGCTTTAAATTTGACTTAGATTGACAGAGAATAAGGTTAGGGCCAGATGGATGTGGGAGTTGGGGAAGAGATAGCTTCCTCCATAAGTCACCAATGAAAGAGAATGACTGCACTCTTACATATAATCAAGTTTATTTTAATTCTTGACAGCAACTAATTGTGTTTGTAACCCTCATGTACCTGTGCTGAATATCCAGTTCCAACTCTTTAGCGTGCTGTCTTAGTGTGTCTTCTTATAATCTTAATCTACCAGGCCTCTCTGAAAGCACTTTCCTTTCCACTTCTATCAGCATATACACTCAAGGCTAGTGAAGCCACCACAGTCAATCCTAATCCCAGCCTCAGGCCATCACCAACGTATCATGCCCAGTCCTACATCATGTTCTCTCCCTCTTCCCTCTTTTGTTATTGAAACTATCCTTTCTTTCACAAGTCCCACCAATGCTAATAGACCTTTCCCAGGGAAAGAAATCTATTCATTTGCTTAAGTTATGCCATATTTAGTGAGTCAGTTATGTAGCAATTGTCAAATAACACCTTATTCATTTGTGTTTGTGTGTGTGTGCACAAACATGTGTGCATGAGAAAGAGGGAAAGAGGACAGAAAGATTTTTATGTGTCTGCAAGAATTTAGCCTGATCAGGTAGATGAATGTCTGATCCATCGGACAAGAACTTGGTGTTAACATCTATTTTACTTCTCAGCAGCCCATAGAATGAGATAGAGGACTGGTCTATATATAACAAAGCACCTTTAAGGCTGATATAATAAAACACCTCAGGCTCACTCTCTGCCTCCGATAAGTGTCCTTCTACCTGTGTCCCCACATGGAGGAAGGGGCAAATAAGCTCCGTAGGCCTCTTTTATAAGGACATTAATTCCATTCTTGAAGATGACATCCTCATGGCCTAATCAACTCCCACAGGATGTACTGCCCAATGCTGCACTGGGGATTAGGTTTCAAAATGTGAATTTTGGGAGGACACAAACGTTCAGACCATAACAAGGACTGAGTGGTCTTGGGGAACTCAGAGGTAAGTGCGTATAGAACATTTTGAATGGTTTGTACTCCATACGTGCTATATCAACCACATCCACCTAAGTAGTAGGTTATTGACTTTGTTCTTTTTCCCCCCAAAACTATGTATATTTGCATATTTCCTATTTTCGAAAGCTTTTGTAAAATACACACACATACACACACACACACACGCACATATATTAGAAAAGAAACAGTTTTTCAACCAGCCTTGATCATTAAGTCACATCTAAGAAACAAACCAAAGCCACCTAAAAGGGGGAGGAAAAGCAACAGGGCTAAGTGGAGATCTCACAAGACCATGTTTTGGAAGACCTGGAACATTCTTGACTCTTCCTAACAGCTGTGTGATCTTAGGAGAGTCACTTCCTTTCTCCAGGCTCTCAATTTCCAAAACGAAAGGTTTTGAATAAATGATCTCTAGGGTCTTCCCAGCTCTGGCAGGCCATGATGCTAGGGTTGTAAATGAGCTGCAAGCTTTATCGCTGTCCTTTGATCAACACTGCAGACCGTGCTCTCTCCTGACATGCCGTGCTTCCTGAACATAATTGAAATAATGTGGGTGTCACATCTCCTTTGATTCCCCAAGCATGAGCGGAGTCATCAACTCTCCTCATTTAACCTCTCAACAAATAGCTCTGTTTGTTTCAGCTACAGGGCAGTATAAATAATTATAATAAAATGTCTTAATATAAAGATGAACAGATAATATTCAAGCCAGTAAATTAGAAAATATCCATGGGCCCATATGGTACCCAGAAATCACTCTCCCTTCAGCGACTAGCTTTCCGTTAGTAGAAATGGAAATCAATTTTCCAAACGTCACGTCTATGCTGGAAGCAGAGCTGTCCTGATATCCCCTACAGGGGTGTCCTCCTCGCAGGAGCCAGGCATGGGCAGCGAGCAGCGCACCCCACATCGCAGGCAGAGCCGGCTTTGTTGTTAGCCACGGCAGATGCCCTCTGGCAATCCTCGCTGGCGCCTGCCTCGCAACAGAATTGGCTGCCTCTTCCTATTTGTCTCTTTGCTCCTATAGGCGTAATGTGGGTATTTGTTTTACTAAAGGGCTTGCTTCGCTCACTTGGTATTAGACCTAGGGATCAGACATGAAATAATTATTCAGCCTAGAGCAGCTCTTTTTCTGGGGCTGCCATTTCTAAGCCATCAGTCTGTTTCTGCAGGGATCTGTGTTACAGGAGAAAAGCCACTCACAGCTTGCAGTTTTGTATAGATGGAGCGAGGCCTGTTAAACCCTTTATCTGCTGTTACCTTGGAAATAAGATGAGATTCCCCATCTTTCCCCTTAAGTGCTGAACCCCAGGGATCAAGTAGATGACTGTGCTGTAATTAGTGTCTGTGAAACTCAGTTTACTTCTTGGAGCTCTGGTGATGGGACCGTCACCTGTATCCTCAAAACTCACACACTCTGTCCCGCCTGTGTGTGTTTATTGAATGAGTCAGGACCTAGTTTCGAGAAGGCCCAGGTCACTGCCTGTGGATAATTTCAACATCAGTGTCACATGCGTGATTTTTGGTCTGTTCTCTCGTGGCTGCTTCTAAGAACTGATTCAAAGAATGAGCATCCAAAGCTCTTCCACATACAACTAAATTCATTCAGTTTTGTTGTTGAGTAATGCTACATAACTTTTTTTTTTTAAAAAAAAATCTATTTCTGAAAGTTGCCCATGAATTTTCCGTCCCTGAGTCTCGGGATTGTGCTTTCAGTTCATCCAGTTCAAATGACTCATGCAGAGTGTTTGGCATCTGAAGGTGTAGATAACCACAGATAAGCATTTTTCCATCACTCCTCAAATATGTAATAAGCAACCATATGTTGGGTTCCATGGATAAATGGTACTTGCCTTCCTAGAGATCAGAGTCCAACAAGAAAGACAGAAAATTGAACAGACACAATTGCTGTAAAATGCACTGTGAGAGGTACTGGGGACTTTGAGAGGCAAATACAGAATGAAGTGGAAGCACATGGCAGACCATGCACATGCCTCAGTCTCAGGTTGATGTCTTCTTTCTTGATGTTTCTATCAATGACATTGATTCAGTGATATGCTGCATTAAATATATTATGCTATATTATATATTTATGTATATATGTGTAATATACATACATACATATATATATATATATATATATATATATAATAAGGTTATCCCTGCTCAAATAACTTAGTTGGAAAATGAAATGAAAAAAAAAATCTCTACTGCTAGAGAGCTTATAATCTACAAGAGAAAAAACGTAAATAGAAAATACAAATACAGGACAGGATCTAGGTAATCAGAGTCAAAAGAGCAGAATGTATTCTAAACATTATTTTGTTCATAAATAAGTATCAGGCAAATCAGGGAAGGCTTCATCGGAAAGGGCCAATCTGGCCAATCTGTGGACACTGTTGTCTCCTGCACACCTTCCATGCTTCAGGCCCGAGCATATGCAGAACCAGCCACGCAGGGCCTGCACTCAGGGACACAACAAAAAGCCCTAAGGAGACACTGAGAGAGGCATAATTGTTTCCAGTGCAGCCTTCATAGTCAGACTTCTTAGATTCAAATCTTTCTTTGGTCACTAACTAGTAATGTGACATTGGGCAAGTTTCTTCATCTTGCTAAACCTTTGGTTTCTCATCTGTAAAATGGAGAAAATGGGTAATACCTTAAAGAGCTATTTTTCAATTCAAATGAGATGATATGATTACAACTCTAGTATAGTTCTTGAATTATATTGAGTGTCAGTAAGTGATATTACTCCTTTATTATAATAAAGCATATACCCTAATATAGTTCCTGTCATCATTTTCTTTCAGGGAATGTTAACTACAGTCACCTACGAGATAATAGAATCTAACAGATTGGATATATTTTTCTAGTCAGTGGATATCGCTACTAAGACATAGTAAACCTTATAACTAAACCCCTATAATGACCAAGGAAGTAACTATATCTTAGATTTGATTGACTTAAATGTTAATATTCTTTTTACATCAATGTCCAGCACACAGCATGATTGAAAGCTGCCAAGTCCAACGACTCAGAGATCAGGAAGGTGGGTAGAAATGTTTATGGCCTAGCCAGTTGCTCTGATGCTTTTAGTCATCTTAACTCACGTCCAAGTCTGTGGTTTCTAGTCTTTAATCCTACAAATGTACCATTTTCTACTGCTTTGTCCACATTCAATAATGGAGAAGTTCCTAAGACTTTTTATCAAACTTTAGCCATAAATTATTTCCTAGGACTCTAGAAGCTTTTCCCAGTAGAAAATTTCCTCTTATAAGCTTTTACCTATTTGAAGATAAACTGTGTTGTTAATACGAGAGGACAGGGACATTGGTTCTTTCTGAGGATCTCCAGACGAGGTCAACAGATGAAATATAAAGATAGCAAAATTCACTACAGCAAGCTTCTTCAGTTAAAGCATTCATAAACAGGTGCACCGAGAACTCAACCCTGCACAGGTGCACAGATGGAGGAGAGACTGCCAGGTAGAGACCTTGAAGCGGAGGCTGAATCAAAACTACGGGGGTGGAAAAGTGAGCAGCTCCAGAGGGGAAAGCAGGAGAGAGAAGTGTATTGCTGTCCACCTTTATCCACGGCATGAGGCAGGGAGGTGTAGAAAAGTCCTTGGGGAAATAATTCCGCTAAGGGACTTCCTTTCTCTGATTTCCCTTAGGAAGCTCTTTGGAAACCAATGGCTGAAAAGTTTACTTTCTGTGAGAAGCATAAATCAGAGTCATATTTCTGTTTCCAGCAACACAAGAAAGAGAGATAAACCTGATAGACTCAAACAGGTAAAGCAGGTCCACAAATGACTCTGGGGCTTGTAGGAAAATCAATTCCTGTAAGATCTGTTTCCTTTGAGGGCTGGGCATGGCAGCTCACCCTTCCCCGTCAGCTCCTGGACCTGATCCGTAGCATCTCTGCTCTCAGTGGATTAATTGCAGCCATCTGAAGGACAACCTCAGCCAGGAGGCTGCTGTTCTCAGGCCCAAGCACCGTCTATGGTTGTATCAGGGAAACCGTCTACTTCCCAGCTGGGAATAAACTCTCCCCTTGCCAAAGTTCCTACCCCAATTATCATTGTGTTCTCTGGAAATACAGGCAAGAAATAGACAGGCCACACCACACCTGGTTTTGTTTTGACTTTCTAAAGAGAAAAACAAAAACTACCCATGATGGGATAAAAATGGGCATCTCAGTCTGCCTGGTTTCAAGTTCCAATCCCAGCACTTCCTACCTGTGTGACCCCAGAAGTTGTGTAATCTCTCTGAGCCTCCATTTCAGCTGCAAAATGGAGGAAATAATGGCAGCAACTGCATAAGGGTAGTGGAGGAAATAAATACTAACATATAAACAGTGCCCAGAATCATAGCTGACACATAACAAAATATTGTCATCATCAAGAATTGCTCTTTTCCCGCACTCATTTGGACTTGAGAGACTTAAAACTGGGTCCTCTTCTACAGGACTTTGGATAATCAGACTCCCAAGAAGGTTTTTTTTATGTGTAGGAGAAAAAGCCTTAGAGACAGCATTTCCTTGCTCTCAAGGTTTTTCTGCTCATTTTAGTACCTTGGATCCATATTAAAGGGATGTACATGGCAACCAAAGAAATATGACTATGTGCTTTACCAAACCCCACATTCCTGGGGGTCCTCCACCTGGGACACTGTTGCCCTGAAGGAAGGAGCTGAAGGTGATATTCATTCCATTAGATCACCATCTATGGAGGAGCCATCCTTCAGGGCCTCCCAGTCTCTGACCACAGCATCACCTGCAATGCTTTTCAGCAAGTCTCTACTTGGGCCTTGATCTATGTGCAACTTAGCCCTGGCTCTTCCTAGCGGGAAGAATATATTTACCCCTCAAAGCTCTCAGTTTGGCATAGGGAAAGTGCCCCATCCACTAGAAAACAATTGGAGATCCCTCTGAGGTCCTCCTTGGTTGTTCCTTTCTCTTAAAAGTGTATGGACACAGGAGAACAGGAGTCTTCTGCAAGAGATAAAGGCTCCTGCCTCCAGACACGCAGAAAAATGCTAAGGATTCCCAATTTTTAGCCTATGCTAGAGAACCTGTGCCCTCCCATGAGCACCTAGAGCCCATCAGCACCTTCCCTTCTGCAGAGATCAATCAGTTCCTACTGCTGCTGCCTCTGCTCAAAACCTTACTGTTAATGATGGCTCCAATTCCACCAAGCCAGTTAACTAGGTTACCTGAAGGGGACTGTGGCATTGGCTTACCTTAAAAACCAAGGATGTCAATTTTTGAACATTTTTTATGTATCACAATTTAGTAGAAAAGATGTTGGTTTGGAAATCAGAGCGTTAGGGTTTAGCCATGGCTGGCATCCCACTAACTTGTGTGACTTTTAGTACTTCCTTTCAATTCTCTGGAATAAATGAATCATCTTTGGGGAAAGATGAAGATAAGTAACTCAGATGCTTTCCATCTTCATGATTCTCTGATCACATGGGGCTACCATGACTTTACCCTTAAAGCAGAAAGCAATGAGACACATTAGCAGAGAATCTGCAGTTTCCAAAACTGTGGCTAAGGTGTTTCACATTCAGAGGTCATTGGTTGACAAGTTAATTCTATGAAAAATCTGTGATAGTTGACGAGTGAAGACTGGTATTAATAAAACTATACTGTTCTCAAAAGAAAAAGAGGACTAATGATATATCCATATACTTTGGTTATGAGACATGTATCAAAATTACTTTTCCATTGGCCTCTGTCAAAAAATAATAACTCGCTTATGAAAAAAATCTTAAAGTTTTTGTGACTAGATGAGCAGTGGAAGCATGAACTTCTGAAATATTTAACTTTATACTGCTTCTGAATCCTCACAAATAAATAATTCCTTCCATCTCTCCCTAGAAAAGATCACATATCTGGGTTCTGTGAATTGACTAGAAGGTACTAATGGACTGTGATGTTACATTTACTGAAATGTTCCACTGCCAGATAAATGCCAAACTCCAAACAGAATACCAAGCTGGATAACAGAGAGTGGCCCTGGCATTATTACCAGTACATTTGACTTTGGATCACCAAGTGTCTGGGGAAAAGAGAAACCTGCAAATGGAAACTTTCAAGTGCATCCAAGAAGGGATCATACATCACCATTCTTTTCCTTGAATCATCACTCAGTTGATTTCGTACATTACCACCAACTATATCCCATGTATTATTTCAAAATGAGTCATTTGAATCTTTAGAGTTATGTGTCATCCACACCTAATCTTAGGTCCGGGCAATCTACAGCAACGTGACTGTGTGACAATGGGTGATTATGAAAAAAGGATTCATACTTTAAATTTTACTCTCTGTTCTCAGCACTTCATTAGGAAAAGAAGAAATCTTAGTTCTCAACCAAGGAATATATAGTTGCTGAATGATGGATGGAATGCTGCCATCTCTTGGTAATCTAGCACAGAAGAAAACAGTTTCCAGAAAAGTGATGTTGCATTTTTATTGGCTGAAGGCGAGGCAGTTAAGAAGTATAATTCTGCTCTTCTGGTGTCAGAACAATCTATAACTGCTGTTATTATTTTTAGCATTTAATGCTTACGGTGCATATTGAAGCTATTCCCTGACAATAACACCATATTAAAAAGAATCCATCACATGGTTTCACTGGCTTAGCTTTCACAAGAAGTCCTAAATTAGGTTGGCCTAGCATCTCTTCTTACACCTCTGCTTTTTCAGATGTGTGCTGAAGCACTGCTTAGTAAGTTCACAAGCTATATGTGACCTCCTTTGAGCATCATCTAAATGTTCTCTCTTCCAACATGCACGCCAGGCAGAGACAGGGAAAGGGCTCTCCAGTGAGACTGGCTCTGGATAGAATGAAAAGACTGAGATTCAGAAGCCTGTCACTCTGTCACATACTGGTCCTACAACTTTAGCCAAGCAAGACATACCTCCTCAGTTTTCTCATCTGCAAAGTGGTGACACCAATCTCTTTTCTACCTACCTCACAGTATTATTCTCAGGATCAAACAGAATTGCATATGTGAAAATGTTTTGCAAGAATCAAATTACTGTACTTTGGTGAAGGATTATCAGAAAGAGAGTGGCATTACTCTTTTTTTTTTTTCTGAGAAGATGTACTAATAAATCTAAATAACTTGCACTTGGTTTTTGTTCATAGTTGATTACTATTTTTCTCAGACTTGAGTGTCTGATGATACTAATAAAACAATATAAATAAGCCAGTAGACTTACTGACGTGGCATTATCATTCATAATCTGCCATGTCAGGCCCAGTTATTAATTCATGGTCCTGCAGCATAATTTTGGCCACCTCCAAATGCAGCACATCCAGAATAGCCTGGGAGGTTAGGAAAACATTCTGCCTCACTGTCATTGTATTACACCTACAATGTACCTTCCATAGCAGTTGTCAGTCTGTTAGAGCTACTTGTTTATATTCTATCTTTCCCCCCAAAATAGGATCCTACTTGGTTTACGAATATGTGCCTCAGCAAGGCTTAACGCAGTACCTGAGGCTGGATTTGTCCCATAAATATTTATTTCATGGATAAATTGAAATGGATTAAGTATTATTAACCATTTACCATATTCTAGGTGCCAAAGAGTGAAGAGAAGTGACTCAAAGTAAAATGCTAAGTGCAATCTGCATGTTGGAAAAGCATATCCATTTTGAAAAGAAATGTGGTTTTGGGGAGAGAAAATAAATTGAAAGTATTACAAAGCAATATGTTGTTTGTAGTTTTCTAAAATCTGAAAGTATACTGATTAGAGATAGGTAACTCATGCTTATTTTGGAGCAATCTGTAGGTAAGTTGAGGGAACAGGGAAGATTCTGTGCTTCATATAAATCAGTACAATGGAAAGCTGCCACTAACACGGCCAGTGGCACATGGTTTGCAACAAGAAGTAAAATCATAATAACAAATTTAAGGGCATTATAATGGACACTGGAGATTCACAAAGGGGAGGGTGAATAGGGGTGAGGGATGAAACACTTTCTATGGGTACAATGTACACTATTTGGGTGATGAGTACACTAAAAGCCCAGACTTCACCACTACGCCATATATACGTGTAACATAGTTCAACTTGTACCCCCTAAATCTATTAAAATAAAAAAGGGGAAAAAACATATTTAGTAGGTTCACTCTAATCTGTGTAGTCATACATCTGGTGCCTTATATCGTTATAAACTATTCATTTGGAAGAACATGAAAAACTGTCCAGATAATGGCAACTGACATAAAGAAGATTTTGGAAAAAGAGTGACAAGTAGAAACAAAGAAATTGAGTAGGGGTACAAAAGAGAAAACAGTACTTTCAAGAGATATGTTCATTCTATTCAAGGTTGACAAACATGCATAAGTCCAGAATGCAAGAATTAATACCAGTGGAAGAGTTACAAGGATGCATTTTCTCAATCTATTATAAAACTAAATAAAATGACAGCAACTAGAACTTTTTAATGGGATTCTCAAATGACTCAATGGGTTGTCCAAGGTGGAGGTGACCTTCTTGCTACCAGACAGGTTTTAGGATAGAACAGGAGAGGATGGGGCTACTGGCAGGATGTTGACAAAAGATTCTGTCATGGGGTAAAGATCCTTCCTAAGTGAAATGACAAATTATCACCACTAAATATAAGCAACTGATATAGTCTTTTTTCCATTATGTATATATAAATACCATGTGAGAGATTTGCTATTGAAAACTATGACTTGAGAAGGAAATGGAGAAAGCAGAACTCTTAGCATTAAAAGAATAAGGCAAATTTGCAAATATCCAGAAAGTC